GAATTTCGGCATTTCGACAATTAAATTTTATTTGTCGAAATAGTATTTAATAATTTCGGCTTGACAGGTTGCCGAAACTCCTGAATTTCGGCAAGCATCCTTAGTCCAGACTTGATTCATGCGATTATTTTGTAAATTATCCATTAGCTGAATATATTCTGAGTGTATTTTAATTCATTATAGAGCAAGTTTAAGCATGCACTAGCTAACAAAGTCATAAGCTTTTCTCATATCCTGAAAAGCAGGTAAAGCAATAAATAAAACAGCAGATGAAATAGCAAGTGAAACAACAGATGAAACAATAGGTAAAACAACAATTAAAAAAACAGATGGTATAGATAAAGCAGCAGATATAGAAAAAGATGAAGTTGATTATCAGAATTTTGATCCTATTAAAATAAGATTAAGAAATTTAATTAAAAAATTCTTATAATCTGTAGTTGCAAAAAAACTTTAAAAGATCTTGCTCACTTTTCATGATTATATGACTGAATAGATCGTTTATTTGATTATCTTTCAGTTGGATGAGAAAGAATTGAAAAAGATAGTTAAAATTATGATGTGTCATGATGTTTCTGGAGTTATAAATAAAATTTGAAAGATTTTGATTATTATAAACAAAAACAAAGATAAAAATCAATATGAAATATTTAATAATATAAATTTATTAAAACTAAATAAATTAATAATGAACTTTTATTATATATATAATTTTACAAAAATGATTTGGTAATTTTTAAGATATTATACTGAATTTTTTGAAATACTTGATTTAAATATAATATTTCATGATTTACTAGATCAAATTTCACCAAAATCCAATCATTATTTTACTAAATCTCAACAAATTTATGGTTTTATTTTTATCCAATTTGGTTTAATAAGTTATAAGATATTGATTTATTTTTAAAAAATAAAAAAAAATAAAAAATTTGTTCAATAACTTTGAAACATGATATTTTTGTTTATTCTTAACAAATTAAATGATATATTTTTTGTTTGGATTTAATTAGTAAATTATGAGATACCCTGTGTCAAAATTACCAGATATTTTTTTATAGAATATATTATTATTCAGAAAATATTTAACTTGATTTAAGTTTGATAAAAGATTTTTCTTAGATTAAATTTTCTGGAATATTCATATAAAAATAAAAATATTAATTAAATAAAATTAAAAACTTTGATATAAAAAACCACATTTTATTAGTAAGTTTTGACACTTGCATTTTTTTAACAATTATAAATCTCTTAAAAATAAAAAATTGTTTATAAAAAATGATTTGAAGCAAGAATTTTATTTACAAGAATATCATTTGTTGGGAACCATTTTTATGTGATGTCATGTTGCAGCATAGCGAATTTTCAAGTATAAAAATATCATTGTCTTTATTGTTCTGTTTTAGAAATGGAGGAAACTTCTACAACCCTTGTTGATTCCCCAACGAATCGTGATGAATCAGAAAGTGCACAGAGAATTCGAGAGCTCGAAGAAATAGAACAAGTAATATTATTACAGAAAAAAGAAAAATTGTCTCCAATTTATTCGATTTTATGGAGTATATGCTCGAATTATTTTCGTATATTCACCAGATAATTTATTTCACCAAAAAGTTGATTGTAAGGCTGCTAAGCATCTCAGGCAAAGCAATAATGGGTTTAAGTCTCGATGGTCATGTTAAACAAGAAGAATCTGAATTCACAACAGTAACAGCGGCAACAGAAGCATCTAAAGAAATAGGAGTAAGAGTTGGTAGTGGTGATAATGTTGATTTGAAATCCACAAAAATAGAAGTAAAACAACAGATTAATACATTTAACAAATATTCTGAGGAGTATCGTAATTTGATTGAGGTAAGTGTGTGAAGTGTGCATAAATGATAATACTATGTTATTGATTATAATTTATTATTAAAATAGAAAATTCAAATCAAATTACGGGAACAATTTCGAGGTATCAGAATGATGGGTATAACATCTGGTAATGTTCCATTTCGGGTGATAACCTACGGCGAAGCAAAAGAGTACGAGAATTGGGTGGGCGCTGTCAAAATTCTACGCAAAGAAATCGAAAATACTTTAGAATTGTGTACAAAAAAAGGTGATAATAGTGGTAGTGTAATAGACACCAAAGCAGGAATTGTTGCCTGGTAGTACTAAAGAAATTGCATATAATTTTGATTGGTTGATTATTATTTTACGATGTTCATTTTGCTTGACAATATATTTATATGTATGCTTAGTTTGTAAGAAAAAAAAAAACTTACTATATGCAAGATACAAAGCCAAAAATAAAATGAATATTATTATCATGTGGCAAGTAAATACTAAATTTAATGTTTTGAAATTTTTACACGCACTAAAAAGTGCAAATTATATGTACAATGATTGTGCTTTCTCTTCATCCACCTCGTTCAAATGAAATTTAGACTCAAAATTATAAATTTTCAAAATTCAACAAAAACCTACTTAAAAAATAATAGTAGTTATTAATATCGACATCCGGCTTCACACATAATAACAACTGCCGAATAATTATTATTCGTTGCTACCGAATACAAGACAAGAACCTATTCATACGTAGAGTTTAAAAATGGTTTATTTCTGTATTTTCATTTTAACCGAATGTAGTAAACAAACGTAGAAAATTATATTAAAGCATTCATTATTTACCCTTTCTCTTAAAAGTTCTCCGAAAGTCGAATATAAACCGGTGGTGCATTGTCGTATATTTCTGAGAAGTACACGTCAGGCCGATCCCCCAAGAAGCTATATTTCGATAATACAAGAATGATGATAAGGTATCATAAACGAATGTGTAACAATTACAAAAATAATTACCTGATTAACTCTTGACACGTATCTCGTAATTGTTCTGCCTTGACCTCACGCATATCCGTTGTCTCAACAATACGTGGAAGTATGACTACAGAAAGAATGTAGGTAAAAATTTTAACCTTTGTTCTTTCAAAATTATTAGCAGCATTCAAACGAAAATAATAACACACCCAATAATCTCATTAGATGTTCGGCACCATAATAAGCTGAACAGTCTGCACCACTGTTTGCCGCTCTGAAATCAAAGTATTGCTGTCTTTCAGCTCGGTATAAGAGCTGAGTACCTAATACCTCATTGAATAATGATTTTACATTGGCTAAATTTTCACGTAAAATTTCTTCCTGAGGATTTTTGGCGGGACGGCCCCGACCACGATGACGAACTCCGTTGGTTTCTTTAGTTTTTTTATTCTCTTCGATTTTATGATTATGGTAATCTTCTAGGATATTCTCAACAGTCTTGGGCTTTGGTAAAGGTAAAAGCTATAATTGAAAAAAATATTATTTATACTGTTTTCAGGTGAGTTAAGGACTTGAAGATATATATATATGTGTGGTAAAATACCTGATATTGAGAAGTGATCCATTCCCAGTCATCTAATAATTTTACCTTTAAGTCGTCATTAACATCGACAGTGATTTTATTCTTTTTTGGTTTCTTCTAATTTTCAATGATAAAAAAGATTAACCTTTATATTCCATGAAATTTAAAAATCAAAAACGATAATGAACCTGAGGATTATTGATCGCTGCACTCGTAGTTGAATTTCCATTAGCTCTTGTTGGTGTTGAGGCAGCCGCTTTTGAGGTGGACGCAATCGTCGTAGTTGTGCTATCATCAATTGGTTGTTTCCTTTTTCTCCCCCTGTTACTTGTCGTAGGTGTTGTGGATGTAACAGCAGTAGTAGTATTAGTAGTAGTTGTTGTTGTTGTTGTTCCATTAATCTTTGGGGTTATTGGTGATGTTATTGCATTATTCTTATTATCATTATCCTTAGAATTAGTGATGTCCGCAGTGTTGTTATTCGTCGTATTATTATTATTATTATTATTATTATCACCATTAATCAAAGTTGAAGAATTGGTAGCTTTAGCTTTAGCTTTTGATCTAGTGGATTTGGTAATCCCGTCTTCTGTTATGTTTTTTATATCTTTTGTTGATAAATGAGGTGGTGCAGGAGGAGTTTCCGACGTTTTTGTAGGTTTTGATATTGTTTTTGTCGTCGTCATCGTCGAACCATTTCCGTTAATATTATTATTATTATTATTATTATTATTATTATTATTATTATTATTATTATTATTATTATTATTATTATTATTA